GAGAGAGAGAGAGAGAGAGAGAGAGAGAGAGATCTTGGGTGCGCAAGAATCGTTTTAAGCCCCGCCTGTGAAGCTTGTATCGCACGAGCAGCGGTCAACTTTGAGAGTGTCTGTCTGGTTCGACAACCAGGTACATGCATATGCTGAACAAACATTCTGGCAGAAGGACAGAGATAATCAATGCGTTATCTTTCCAAAGTGGGAACAGCAACAACAACAACAATAATAACACTAACAGTTTTTCGGCACTGCAACACAATAAAGTAATACATGTATACATGTAGAAGTTTAAGTGCCGAAGATTAGAGGTGTTACAAAGGAGTAACAAACACAATAAAAGGAGGAGGAGAGATAATAATAAGGACGATATATGTTTGACAGGAAAGAAGAAGCAAACCACGCAAGAGCACTCGCCAACCACCCGCTGTTAATGCCTAGGAATCAGTGAGCGTTTGTACATAACAACATACTTGTTTGAGCATTTTGTAAGATAATTCAACAAAGCAAAAACAGTGGCAGGTTGGCGGGTGCTCTGGTGCGATTTGTTCCTTCGGTCCTACCAAACGTCTATCGTCCTTATCTTTCATTTTATCCTTCTTTTTGTGTTTGTTACTCTCTTGTAACACCTCAAAACTTTGGCAAAATTATGACCTAATTGAGCTGTAAGTGCCGTAAAACTCTTACTAAAATAAAATATATCCAACAGAGCACAACATCATAGTGAGTGGCTAGCCTAACGCAACAGATTTGGTTATTTTTATATAGCCAATTAATAATAATGTGTCGCAAGCTATTCGAATGTCCTAAGCCCAGAGAACAAAAAAAGAATAAAGGAATAAATGGGTTAGAAAAACGTCATTCTTCTAACACACATTACTATTTTTCTTGCAGTTTTAACATTAGCAATTCAAATTTTGACAAAAATAGGCCTATTTAGAAAAAAATAATTTATCGAGCTACAATGAACGATAACCGAAAACACAAATTACAAAACGTATCTTTTTAAAATTCAAAATTTGGGCTCAGTACATCTGAACAGTTGGTCACCCAATCAAATGCTGTAAATGTGGGTATGACCGCGTGTGTTGTAAACAGATGAGTTAGAGTCTTGCGACTGTGTAAATAGCAAAACAGATTATAAGTGTACGGTCACACTAAACACTACCTGACGAAAGTCAATGGATTATAGCAAAAAAAAGATGACGTTCAGTAACTTTCCGTAACCATGTGAAATGAAAAAGAGCTGGTTTAGGAAAGTGATTCACTGCGTTCTACAATAGTGTTTCTGTTGGTTTGTCTGTTTGCTTTTAAGGGTTTTTTGTTGTTGTTGTTGTTGTTCAGCAGTTGATTTTAATCCGGTAGTGTTTGGTCTAACCGTACCTTCCCTTTTGACCCCTCCTTAATCAACGTACTCGTTGAGCGAGAGAGAGAGAGAGAGAGAGAGAGAGAGAGAGAGAGAGAGAGAGAGAGAGATTACGGAAAAAAAGGGAGTGGGGAACTTTTAAGATTACATTTGTGTTGTACATTGTGAACTTTTGCTGCTTTCAGAAATAATCGTGTTTTACGATTAACGTATAATATATCCATGTTGACTTGTGTCGTACGTCCAGTTTTGTATATTAATAACTTGAATTGTATTCGTTTATCTTATCTGTGTTTTACGAATAAACTTGTTTTTCATTTAAACGTACGTCTATATTTTACTTATAAACTTGTACCGTGTTGTACGTATGTAAACTTGTTCTGTGTTCATGTTTTCTTGTGTTTTACGTATATAAAATACCACAGCAGATGATTTTTTAATAAAAACCGTAAAAGGCTTCTCTCAGAAAAGAGTAAAATCAAGAAGAACCACCCCCCCCCCTCCATAAATACAAAGCAAGAGAGAAAAATGGAGAGAGAGAAAGATAGATTGATTTAGATTTAGAGAGAGAGAGAGAGAGAGAGAGAGAGAGAGAGAGAGAGAGAGAGAGAGAGAGAGAGAGAGAGAGAGAGAGAGAGAGAGAGAGAAAACCAGACAGACAGACAGACAGTCCTTGAACGGGCTCCGGGTATCACTACCACATGTGACATAGTCACATACTGGTCAATACGGTTGTTACGTGGACGATCAAATATGACTGTCCCCGGGGTTTTATGCACTCCGCATTAATAAGCAAATTTTGATCACTTTTTGCTTATTTTTAGAATTATTTTCCTTGATCATTCTTTGTTAAAATTAACAGAATCGCATAATTTCCCATTTTGGGCTCAGTTTGCATAATTTAAGATTTTTCCTTTAAAAAAAAAATAAAACTGCGGGGACAGATATGACACAAGGTAGCACAAAGGACGGTCCCCCTTGTCGGTAAACTTTAAAACGCATTCATCCGATAAGGACCATCTAGATATTTTTTTTAAAAAAAGGTAGCACCCAGGAGGAACTATCGCGACTTCGCTTTGCCGAAAACTAGGAGGAGCCAATAATCGTTAAATTTTAGATATGTACCAGCATTTTCTACTGGGTTAATTAAAATCTA